GTGAAAGAGTTGTATCAACGTTGATAGCTACATTTCGTACATATAATAGCTACATTCATATTTTTTTAAACTATAGCTACATTTCGTAAATACAATTTTATAAATATATGTTTTCTTCAAAATATTGTATAAAGACTTGCAAGAGTTACGAACTCGTGCAAATCTGTTCACAAAAATCATTACAGACATTCACTTCCATGTGAGATTCTAAGATGAACAACTACTAAATTACCATTATACTTCCAATGGTAATTTTTTTTTGGTCTAAATTTTTTTATGTTGTTTTCGCTAAAATGGAACTCTTAATTTATTACATACTTTAGATAGAATTGTGAAACATTATTGCTGAAATTTGAGCTACGATTCATGGGAAGGAATAATAAATATTTAGCATGTATAACTTTCGGGTGTATACGTATATCCCTTTTATATGTGTGTATATTTATGTATATCTGTGTGTACTATGCATGAATATCTATGATATACAAGTGTCACATATATTTTTCAACTCAATTTCAGTTACTATTAACTCTGACTCTGAACCAGTTCAAATCACCCGTAAATCTTTCTCAATATCAATCAAACCCACCAAAAAGCTCCTTTATTCATGGAAAAATGGAAAATGATAATTTGCGGTTATTTTTGTAAATTTTCCCCGTGGAGAAAGGCCCAACCCATCATTTTAGCCAAAGTTCAGGATTGTAAAGATGCACTTTTTTTTTCATTCTCAGTATCCATATTGGAGTCTGACTATATCCGGACTCGCACTACATAAGCTCCGCTTAGAGGGAAGTGCTCTCCACAAAGGTTTTTTTCATACTCAGGATTTGAACGCGAGATCTCTTGTCAAGAAGGAGTTATCTCATCCACTACACCATGTCCTTAATGAATATTTGCTAGCTTCATTTTCTTGTTAATTGGTTGAAAGATAAATGTGTTTAATTCAAATTAGCAGAATTAGAGGTGAATTTGTCGGTAGGGTTTATATAGTGATAGTCTTTTCGGAACAAGGTAAAAAATGTTCTTAAATTATATTTTTTCTGTTTCAAAAAAAATAACCTAGTTTGATTTGATACGGCCAACTTGGCAAGTGTATTTTGGATAGTGGATGCCTAAAAGAATAATATGAGCCTTCATGAGGTTAGGCAACTGATTGGTGACTACATGCAAAATAGATACCGTCTTATTAGCCTAAATTATAGATGTCTTTTTTGGGTATTCTTGATTTGACTTGTCCTCTTCTTCTCAATACAAACTTTGTGAAGCTTAAAAATTATAGATAGATAGATAGGCTAATTTTTCATGAGAACAAACATGAAAACAACTCTTCAACATATATAGCTTTCACAAGTTAAAGCTTAATTAAGAGTCAATTGCACAAAATTAACTAGAGACAAAATGTGCAAAACTATGTAAGTGTATATATAGTTATGACACATTTCAACCAAGACAACCATGATTAAGAAAATATCAAGTGCAACACCATGACAAGTACTATTGTCTACTTGTATGATATATCTAACTTTATAGAATTTAATTTAACTTACATAAATTGATAATGTAAAGAGTAATTTACTTATAATGCATATTATAGAATTAATTGAATTAGGAAAAACTACAGAGCTATTATATACCCATAATCTGGCGATACTTTCCGAAAATTATCTAACATAGCTATACATTAGAATTTTATAGTAAATCTCTCCTCTCTTCCTCTCTCATTCGTCTCTCTCTCTGGGTGTGTTTGGTATGAAGGAAAAAAAATTCGTAAAATGTTTTCCAATTTTCTCATGTTTGGTTGGGTTAAATGTTTTCCAAATCAACTCATTTTCCTCAAATTTAAGGAAAATGAATTCCCTTCAAAACTTAAGGAAAACATTTTCTAAAACTCTCTTCCAACTTCAAATTACAATTATTTTTTGTTGAAAAAATCAATTTATTTTGTCCCTACCCTCAAACCAGCCCCCTCAATCACCAAAAAAAATTTAAAGCTTGTTTTTAAATTCAATTTTTTTACCCCACCCCCACTCCCTACAACCACCCCCTCCCAAAAAAATATTAAAAGTTATTTTTAAAAGATATTTCTAATTTCAAATTTTTATTTTTTTACCCCCATCAGCCCCCACCCCCTTCAAAAAGAAAAAAAATTAAGTTTGTTTTTAAAAAATATTTTCAGCTTCAAATTTTTATTTTTTCATCCCGATCCTCGACCACCCACCCCTTCACCGGTCACCCCAAAAAAAAAGTTGAGTTCGTTTTTAAAAAATTGTATGTGTATCAAAAAAATGGTTGTACCTATAATCAAACTGTATCTTCTTCAATTGATACATATTGATGCATCCAATTGTATCCAAGTATAGAAAAATTGGTATCTGTGTATCAGAAAAAGTGATACCACTATCACTGAATAGTATCTGTGTTTCGAATATAAACTGATACAACTATTATCATAAAAAGATTGTATTTTGTGTATTTGTTTTAGGGGTATTACAATATTCAAATATTGTATCGATAAGTTTTCATTTGTATATCGCAAAAAAATGATACCAATTATATTTGCGTATTTATTTTAAAGGCGATACAATATATATCTGTATATTTATATTTTAGTTTCAAAGCTAATAAGACGCTATGTCAAATTTATATTTATCCTGATTTACCATTGTAAATTATTCAATTTTTTATAATTGTTTTGCAAGAAAATTAAGAGATTAGTGCAAAACATAAAGAACTCTAAACAATTGGCAGCATTGATCCATGCCCCTAAAAATTGGTAGGAATTCATCATTTTGTATTTATTTTTAGGTGGGGAAAGGAGTCCGATTAATTACAGCTGTTTCATAGCTTTATTAATGAATTAATTTAGACAAAAAGCAAATTGTTTAGGTTTGGATTTCCTAAAATATGTAACTATGTAACTAATTTTTGGCCACTACTGTTATTTTATCAATAATGCCAAAATTTTGTAATGTGTCTTTAAGATTGTATAGTTAGGTAAAACTCTAAAAGATGTGAAAATTCACATTTTTGTGAAACAAGTATAACATCCAAAGGAAAAAGGTGCGAAATATATCTGAATTTTGATCGAAATTGTTGTAACAATTCAAAGAGTAGGACCTATTACCAGCCTGCACTATTTAATAGTATATTTTAAAGATATATATGTGTCTACGTAGACACGTTACTGTTTATAATGATGTAATATTTATGATGTCCACGTGAACACATATATACCTTTAAAATACATTATTAAATAGTGCAAGGGGGTAGAAGGTCATTTCTAAAGTTTGATATTATTACAACAATTTCGATCAAAATTCAGATATATTTCAGACTTTTTTCCCACGTCCAAACATGAATTTAAATATGAGAAGATATGATGACTCAGTCTAAACTAAATTAGGGTACTTAAATATAAAGTTTTACTGTATAATCAATCCACTTAAACTAGTATTAATATTATAATATTCATTAAAGCTTCATACAATTAAAAGTTAGGGTTGTTGATTCAATCAGTATACATGTTTTAAATTCGCACAGTAATCAGAGATTATCTAACGTTAAATTCATAATAATGTCTAGGAATTATTTTTTTCACTAATTAAATATTCTGAAGTATTGATTCGTTTAATATAAATCCATAATTTTCATTTTAAGATGAAGTGATTATTTTCGATTAATCCCCCCACATCTTGTGGTACCCTTAGAGAATCTCATTTTTTGTTCATTTTTTAATAATTCCAATTTGAACATCATCATGGCCTTGAAAGTTTAGCATAATTAGGAATAAGCCAATAAGTATTACTGTTTTGTTACAGCAATATAATCATGATAATACCATCTCTTTAACTTTATGATGAGAATTTGGCCATTAGGCTTAAATAAATATTAATTTGGAAAGGCCATTTAATGCCCTCTCAAACACTTGGGCCCCTATTTTATTTACTTTGCGACTCATTTTTCTTCCTCCTGGCCCCATTTCCATACACATAGTATGTTTTGAAGTTTTTTTTTTTTTTTTACCGTGGTTTCCGGGCGTCGCTTTGCGAACCCGACTAGCTGTACCCACCGGGTCCCGCTGTTTCAAGGCGGGTCCACCACAGTTAGTTCCACGGGGCCCTGGAGACGCGGCCGGTTTGTAATGCCTCCAGTGGCCCTGCTGGGGCTCGAACCGGCGACCTGAAGGACTTTGTCCCAGGCCTTTACCATCTGAGCTACCCCTCAGGGTTTGTTTTGAAGTTCATAGATTTCTACCACAATTTTAAATTAATATTATAATAATATCTATCATTAAAGGCATAATATTCAAATAGATACTCAAACTTAATTTTAGTTGAAAAATAAATACTTAAATTTTGAGAATGCACATTGAAATATTTTAACAATCTAAACTAATTATTCAATACTTTAACTAGTTCTCACTATTTCTCATGGACACCCAACAGTGACATTGCACATAAATTTTGAAGATGACTAGATGATCATTTTTTAAGTTAAAGTGTTCAACTAACACAATAAAGACTACTTGAAGTGTTTAGATATGCATACTCAATATTATAGTATTACCTGTCTAATGAGGCCAAGTTTTATATATGTTTTATTGTTTATGTATTAATGTATTATGTCAATTATAAATATCTTTACACTATATATTTTATCCTTTTTCAATTCGTTTGACCTATTTTTATTTTTAATTTATTCCATAAAATATAACTTTTTTTTAACAACTCTTTAATTTCAATTTTTCACGTGATTTTAAATTTTAAACTTGTAAAATTCAAAACTTTCTTTTTAATTTTCTTAAACCTCTGTATCTAGTCAAAACAAATCACTCAATTTAAAAATGGATGGCAAAATATGCCAAAAAACTATTTCCCCCCCCCCCCCCGGCGACACCCCATCCAAAACCAACCCCCAAACAACAATAATCCTTTTCCTCTTCTCTATTTATCTACCTTCACTAACTCCAATATTTCCCACTTTCTTTAGCCACCAGAGTAAACACAAGCAACTCTTTTACCAATCATGGGGAATTATAGGTTTAGATTGTCAGATATGATGCCAAATGCTTGGTTTTACAAGCTCAAAGAAATAGGCAAAAGCAGCAGCAGCAGCACCAGAAACAGCAGAGGCCATAGCCACACAACTTCATCAACATCAACATCATTATCAAATCTACAACCAGACAAAAAAAGACAACCCCATAACCTTGGTTGTCAAAGAAAATCATATTACATTTCAAGAAACCTCACTAGTAGTAATCCACCTGAAACATTTTCTCAGAATCCTATCTCTTCTAACAGCCCAAAACCCGATCACGATGTTCATTTCACTGAGCCATCAAGAAAGTCTTACAAGAAAAGGCGTAGTATCAATTCCAGGATGAGAAATTCTCCCAAACTTGTCAATCCCTCTGTTTCAGCCAATTGTAGTTGCCGCGCTTCTGTTGAATCTGTCTGGACTAAAGCTGATTCCACCCCTGAAGAATACCCAAATTCATCTTCCTCCTCCTCGTCCTCATCACCATCTTCAATTTTGCCTGAAAAATCAAACCCCATGACTTCAATTTCACCGTCTTGTGACTGCAGAGCTGATTACATGAATCAAGATTCAGCCAATCTTGATCATGGGGTTCACTCTGTTTCTAAAATTGACCTTCCTCGTATCATAACCAAGCCCGAAAAATTCGATGAAAAAAAAGAAGAAAAACAGAGGATTGTGAAACAAGAACAGAGGATAGTGAGAAGAGTATCAACAAATGGTGTGAAGCTGAGAACAAATTCACCAAGAATAACAACAAACAGCAAGAAGATTCAAGGAAGCAGAAAGAATGTTTCATCAAAAAGGACAAGTGTTACAGAGAGCTTTGCAGTGGTGAAATCATCAAGAAATCCTCAGAAAGATTTCAGAGAATCAATGGTGGAAATGATAGTTGAGAATAATATAAGAACATCAAAGGATTTGGAAGAACTTCTTGCTTGCTATCTTTCATTAAATTCAGATGAGTATCATGATCTAATCATCAAAGTCTTCAAGCAAATCTGGTTCGACATCACTGAAATTCGACTGAAGTAAATACTAGTATAAGAATCTATGTATTAATTTCCTCCTCTAATACATAAATGTGTCATTTAATTTGGTTCAGTAACTTTTTTATATATATAAATAAACATTTAAATTATTATAAACTTGAATAATCAGACACTCATGTTCTACGTAACAAATCTGACATAATTTATCAGAGGTAGAACACATGCGTCTACTTGTTTAATTTTATGATAATTTAACTGTATGCTTATACATATCTATAATTAGAGGATAGAGATATCAATTGCCATATATTTATTATTATATGTTATGTATATATAAATATATAACTAAATTTTAAAAAATCTATCGCCAAAGAATATGATAGATGAATGATATGTTTATTTCTTAATCAGAGGTCTTTGTTCGATGAATGTGCGGAGGGAAAAAAGAGTACAAAAACCAAATCTTGTAATAAGAAGATTTGTCTGACTATGACTTGATTGTGTACGTTTATGGGATAGTGTTGTCTGTGGGAGTTAAGTGGTAGTAAAAGTCTTACTTTAAACAAACCTCACCATCTTCGAAATTGTTTGTTATACTATAGATTATATGGTCAATTATGATCACCTATTGAATAGTATTATAATTGTTACAGTATTCTTGTTTTTTTCTATTACAGAATCACAATGTTTATGCTATGACATTCAATTATATAATTATACATACAAAATCATAGCATCAATACAGAGTATTGTTTCTATTTTAACACGCTCTATTTAGTATTATTTTCTATTTTAATACACATAATTCATTTGATATAACAAATCAAACAGTTGATAAAAAAATAGTATTAACATAATTAATTTCATCATTATTAAGATGTCTTATTTAATATCATCTTTATACACTTTATCGAACTCCCTATCATTTGTTAAAAAAAAATGCACGCATTAACTTTGTGTTATTAGTATTTGATCGGTACACTATGCAAATATATTTAATTTGATATTAATGTATATACAATTAATATATGGAAACTCATAACATTAGTAATGCAAAAAGCTTTACTGCATGTCTTAGCACGATTAAAGACACAATTATCTCTCAAATATTATGCAACACATTTTATTTTTAATATATCAAATCAAACAATACATAAGAATAATATCAGTACAACTAATACAAACACAATTCAATACCATCTTTATACACCTATCAAATCACCCCTTTTAGTGTACACCATATTAATGCTAAAAACTTTAACAATTAAACCTATCAAATTTAAATATCAACTATGTATTTTTAGCATAGAAAAAGGACAATGGAGAAAGTATCATGGAAGGGTACAAGTGGCGTATGAATGACATTGATCTTGCAGTGATAGATTAATTCCATAGCAGAAAAGAGGGCCCTTTATAAAGCTTGAGCTTTCACCTTTTATCTTTTTCTATAAGTTACTTATATGTAGCAAAAATAAAGAAACTTTTTTTCACTCTTCATTAATTGATTTCACAAGTGTCTTATAAAGTATTTTTTTTCATCTCAATTTAAGTAGTACAGTTAAAATTTCTATACTAAATTCATGATCAAAATTTTAAAATGGCAATTATGTCACGTAAATTGTAAATCATATCTACAAAAACTCACTGACAATGTGCATAATACATGCAAATGTCCATAGAGAAAAGGTTTCTCACAGGAAGATTCAAATTAAGCACAAGTTTCTTTGTCCTTTCATTTTTATTTATACTTTTTTCATTTTAATTTGATTATCGTTTTCTTGATTTGACACATAATTTGAGAGCATAATTTATTTATTTTTGGTTTTATATTAAAAATTAAATATGTCAGTAGAAAAGTTGAAATTAAAAAATTATTAATATATATATTCTTTTAAATAATTTTTTTTAAAAAATAAATTAATTAAAACGGAGTTAATATATTTATTTATTCAAATTTTATGTACTGTGAAGTGTAAGCTAACCCGCATGGGCTTAAAGAAGCTTTTTGAAATTTCTGCATTTTTTTCTAAAGTTGCTTCGAAAGTTACAAAAGTTTGTGTCAATTTCAAACTTTTAAAAAACTACCTTTAGTTTAATAAGTTTGATAAGAATTAGGTATAACTTTATAACGATCGGTTTACTTTTACTTATTAGTACAAATTAAAATTCTACTTTTTAAAAAGGGTTACAATTTTCATATTCCTCATGTATTTTCGAAGGACCTATAGTAGTGGCAAAATCGCGTGTGACAGTTGACACCCTTTGATCGAAAAATTATACTATATAATTGAATAAATACATTATTTCTTGTGTGTATACATTATATATTAATTTCTCTCGCTTTTACTCCTTTATATTTTGACATCTCTTATTATAAAATTTTCTTAGTGCTATTTTTGAATTTTGAGTATACAAGTTAACTCTGTATAGAAGAACAGTTTATAGTTTGACTTTAACATAACTACGCATTTATCTAATTACTTTTTCACTGCTAACGGTTCAAAACACAATTTGAAATTATAATTTTTTTGTCAAGGTATTTTTCCATGTGTTCACACACGTATTTGTAAAGCATATAGTGTAGATTATAGATATATATAATGATCCTAGAAGTACATTTTTTTTTTTAAAAAAAAAGCATAGATAGAGCATGAATAAGAGCGGGCTTTATTGTCCTCACTTTAAGTAACAAAAGAAAAACAAGAATAATTACTTTGTTGCCTACATATATAAATATTGTGAAATTGGACAATGTAATTGATCGATAGTATTTTGGGTGATGCTATGAAAAATTAAGATTATACTATGTGTATGCACCAAGTATAAAATAGCATTTTAAATGTTGTAATTATTAGTTTTCTATTATGTGTGTGATAGCCATTAATATAATTATTTTATGTTGTTTAAATCAAGAAAAAGAAATATGGAATGGAATTGAATCGTACTAGCAAAACTAGTATCGTTTGGTCATAAAAATTACTCATTCATTTTTTATTTGGAAATAATTTTATTTTATTTGAAAATCAGTGTTTGACCATGAAAATTTAAATCCAACTTGAATTTGTATTTCAGATTTGAAATATAAATACAAATACGAACTTAGTTTTCACTTTTGAAGTTGTATTTAAGTACATTCAAACATGAATATTATTTATTCCAATCATTCTTTGTAACAAATATAATCAAACACAATTCTATATCTTCAACTCTAACTCCATAAATTGAAAATAATTAAAGTGAAAGTTGTTTTGGAATCTATGGACATATTAACGCCTACTAAGGCTATTAATAACTTATATACAATCATCTCAAACTTATATCATGAGATTTTTCGTTGTTACATAACAATGAACAATACAATATAATAAATCAAAATAAACTTTATATTTTAAATTAACAAAACAATATAATAGGTGATAACAATCCAAATTAAAAAGCTTACAATTTTAATAATCCAATATACTAAAATTCAAATAATAATCAAAATAAAATTTATATTTAATTAACAAAACAATACAATAAGAAACAACCATCCAAACAAGCTTATAATTTAATGACACAATATAATAAAATTTAAGTAACAATCAAAATAAGTTTTATATTTCAGCTAACAAAACAATACAATGCGTAGGAAACAACCATCCAAATAAACGTAACAATTGTTACTATATAATAAAATTTAAGTAACAATTAAAATAAATTATTTAAACTAACAAAATAATACAATACAATAATAGAAAACAACCACCCAAAATTCCAAATTAAACAAACTTATTAATTTAACGATATGATATAGTAAATTAAAATAATAAAATTTAACTAACAAAACAATACTGTACAATAGATAACAACCATCCAAACAAGCTGTTAAGCTTAGTACAAAAAAGTAGAGTTCCCAATTAGGTAAAAGGTAATGAAATTAATTCCTTCCAATCATGTTTGAATATAGTATTATGTCAGCCATCCAGATTATCTTAATCTAGGGTGTGGGCGTGTGAGTGGGTGTGGGTGTGGGGTCAAGATTATCTAAGTATTTATTTAGGTTTTTAATTTTTATCTACCTTTAATTATATTCATTTATAAATTTTTGGGGACAAGGAAAAATATAGGTTATGAACCTAGTGTTGAAGATAATACACTTAATTATTAATAAACATAAATATCGAGAATATATATATATATATATATATATATATCACATATTATTTATCTTGTCAATGGTTTCAGCCATATGCATGTTTTATTGTTCATTTCATTAATTTATCGGAAAAGAGCCTAAAATATCTTCAACGTATTGAAAATGGTACACAACTATCCCTCATCCACCTATAGGTTCCCAAATACCCTCTCCACCCACCTATTGGCTCACAAATACGCCCCCCCCCCCGCCTCACCCCCCACCCCGTCCACCTTTGGATTCAATTTTAGCCACTTCATTAATGGAGCACCATTTAAAATAATTAAATAATTATTTTAATTACGTGGCGCTTAACCATTAATTGCAATTTAATTATTTAATATAATTTTAAACCCACTCATTTTAACTAAACTCGTCCAATACTTATTAAATCCGCCCGCCCCAATACAAAAAGAACCCAACTAATAAAAATTGCTGAATGTGTAAACCCATCGCCTTCAACTAACACCTCAACTAATAAAAAAAACCCAATTTTCTATACAGGGTAAAATGTTAAAAGAGCTATACATAGGTCTCCAGTATCTTATCAATCCATCATTGTCCGCGGAAGTTAGTTGAGAACGAATTCATCCGGCAATTCAACAGTTTCTACACATCCAACAATTTTTATTAGTTGGATTCTTTTTGTATTGGGGCGGGCGGATTTAATAAGTATTGGAGAGGGTTTTGTTAAAAATGGGTGGGTTTAAAATTATATTAAATAATTAAATTGCAACCAATGATTGAGCGCCATGTAATTAAAAGAATTATTTAATTATTTTAAATGGTGCTCCATTAATGAAGTGGCTAAAATTGAACCCAAAGGTGGACGGGAACGGTATGTGTGAGCCAATAGGTGGATGGGGAGGGTATTTGGGAGTCAATAGGTGGATGGGGAGGGTATTTGTGTACCATTTTCAATACTTCGATGATATTTTAGGCCCTTTTCCATTAATTTATTCCATCAATCCAAAAAAGTCTTGCTTAATCTATCA